ATTTTTTGCAAGCTTTTCCTTTTTCTACATTATTAACGATAACTCTTTTTCCACCTGCTCATAGTGGCAGTCATTGTAGAATTCCTGCAGGACAGCATGTGAGTTTGTGGTTCATCTAAACCCTGAATTAATTTTACTTACCTCTTTGTTCCTAGATCAATAAACTGCTTGCTTGTTGCTCTTAATAAGGCTGTGGGATTCTCTTGGTGTTTTTTTTCCTTTTAATTCAGGTGATAGTTGTGTAGCGGTAAAGGTTGTGTGTAAATTTACAGACACTCTTTTTTTGACATTGGATTTTACACAATATGTAAGGAATGGAAGTTTCATTTGTGGCATTAATTTCCTTCATTTTGGACCCCTTAAAACTTTTCCAATTCTGTCATACTACAGCCATGCATTGTTAAATAACTAGAGTTTTCTGTAAAGGGCCAACACAAAGAAGTGTATAGTTAAGTGCAAGGAAAGTAATGCAGGCTTTTCAAAATCTTTCAAGTAAAATTGTATTGCAATCATTTACACACTCAGCCCAGCCAACTCGGTCCGTGAAAATAAGAAGGTTGGACGAGTTTGGCTATAGATTCAAACATGTCTGAACAGCTTAAGTGTCATCCAAACCCATTTCAACAGGGACAGATTAAAACCTTTCAAAAAACAAACAATACCAACCACATATCTAACTCCGTAACCATTAAACACAACTGTTTTCATGAATTTCAGACTGAAATATTGACATACTGTTACTATATTAAACTGCATTTACAATAGGGGCATTTCCCCTGATCACGGATCAGCCGGCTCGCTTGGTATCGCAATGAACCATGAGAAAGCCAAGGCTACGTAGGATACACCGGACCTGTCTTTTAACATGGGCAAAAAAAGGTTGCATTTGTTGGCCGCATAATGAGGAGTCTTGTAATCTGAACAGGCCACGGCATTGCGCTATGACGTAATTGGCCGACGAACCTGGCTTTTGGAGGACAAAGCTGATGAATTAGAACTCAGCTATTATCCTATTTTGCTGCAATAATACCTGCAAGCTTTTAAGGGAATGCCTCATGGAGTTTTGCGCATTTTTCTTAGCAAAATATATAGCTCAAGCTCAGCTATAATAGATGTAGAATTAGTAAACAAACATCTATTCTCAAGTCTTGCTACAGATTCTCAATAGGATTTAGATTTGAAATTTGACTTGGCTAAGCTAGTTCATCAATATACTGTGGCTTAAACAATTCCGTAGTAGGCCTGATTTTAGATTTCAGGTCATTGACCTGTTGGTAAATGGAGAATTGCCTGTACTTATATAGCACTTTTTAAGACAAAGGACTGGACTAAAGCATTTTAGACTACATCTAGTCATTCATGCACACACTGATGGTGGCAAGCAACATTGTAGCCACAGCTGCCCTGGGGCTCACTGACAGAAGCGAGGCTACCGTACACTAGCGCCACCAGTCCTTCAGACCACCATCAGTAGACAGAGTGAAGAGGCTCGCCCAAGGACACAACAACACTGAAAGCCGGTTCGAGGGCTTGAACCGACAATCTGTGGTTGGGCAAACTCTTTCATCCAATGCCACTGTTGCCCCAAACTGTAGATGACCTTCCACCACCTTTTGCAGACTCGACAATGTTCAAAGTCAGTCATAGGGGGCTAGTATGTTGGATTTTATAGATGTATCCCTGGTTTGAAATTTCTAGGCCTCTGCAGAATGTAGATCAGATGTAGTGGGACTACCCACGATTAAGTTAAAACAATCTTCTTTTCAAGTGCCTCTGACCAGCTTTGCTGTCACAATTTAAAAAGTTAACAGGGTGTTAGACAATCCCATGGTCCCATGAACGGGTCCCTTTTGTCCCAGGACCCTGCTTCACCATCTTGTTAAAAGGAAACGCCGTTTTTTTTTACATTGGGCCCTTGATTTTACATTATTACATCATGTTCTACTCTCCCATATGAGTTTTGTGTCATTAGGAGCTGTTCTGAAGACATTCTGATATTCTGTTCCAAGTAACGTCTTCCTATGGGCAAATGACTTAAAGGCGCAAACTAAACTGTTCATAATTCATCATTTATGGTATGCCAGCATTCATAACATGTAGGAGAATCACTGTCCCCCAGACATCCACGATTATGTTTTTTATATTTTTTTAAAACAAAGCGGCCCGTCTATGACGTCACCTGCGCGCCGGCTACCATTCATTTTTCCTGTTCGCTGAACTGCTGCTAGTTTTACTCACATGGCTGGAAGATGTCTAGTACTACTACTACAGATGATCTCACTCTCGAAATGGAATTGAACGATTTAGATTAGCTAGCCGAACAAATAGAAGGGGTAGAGCGTAGCGCCTGTGGCCTGGGCTGCCTGTCACAACTCCAGTCCGGCGCACGGATTACGTCATACACGCGCCGCTTTGTTTTAAAAACTTATAAATATAAAAAATATAACCGCAGATGTCTGGGGGACGGTGATTCGCCAACATGTTATGAATGCTGGCGTACTATAAAGAATATATTATGAACAATTTAGTTTGTGCCTTCAAGTTGTTTGCCAATAGGAAGATGTTACTTAGATATAACCTAACAGAATATCTTCATAACGGCTCAGAATGATGACACAAAACTCATATGGGTGAGTAGAACATGATGTAATAACGTAAAATCAAGGGCCCAATGTAAAAAAAACTGGCGCATCCCTTTAAGAGTTCCGCATAGCAATTTTTGGATTTAACCCTTATCTCTAAATAAAAAAAGTTTCTTCAACCACACCAAAACAAATGACCAAAATTGTTGTAGTATCTAATCCAAGCCCATTAATGGTCGGGTTTTACTTAGCGAAATGCATAAAAATAAGAAGATGAAGGCATGGAGCATTCTTGAAGCTACGTTCATATGGATTGGATTTTGGGGCTAATCAAGAGATCTGGCTTCAACATCATTGCTTTTAAATAGGTACAGATAATGAATTAACCCCAAAATGCAGTAAATTAAAACACCACATAATGGAGAGTGGATGGACTTATTGAAATTTATTTTTGCAAAACATCAGATCCAAAAAGATGTAAATGCTTGATCTGTGATGCACATGACTAATAGTTATACTTTATATTCTGCTACCTGAGCTATAAATATGTGCAACTCCTCCAGAGTAACAGTATCTCTTGATTGCTTTGTTGCTCAATTCAATTCTAGCTAGCATTTTGGCGTAGGTGGATGACCATATCTTATAGTATTTGCACTTAGTTCATAATCTGTCTGTAACAAACATCCAAGAATCAGACAGAACACCTTAATTAAGTATATACTGGCAGACTCTATCATAATTGGGTGATTCAGTGATTTACAAAGGGAATTTGTTTAACTGGATTTAACTAGAGCAGTCCTAGTAAAAGGGTCTGGATACACTGAATGCCACACTATAAACTTGATTTAAAAACATCATTCACATCCTTCCAGTTTACAGCAACACAATACTTTTTGGTGGTGTACCCCATATGAAAAAAATACCCTGAGGATTGCGGTTGTAACTTTTTAAAGTGTGAAAAACTTTATAAGGTATGATTACCTATGCAAGACACCATAAAGACTTGCAGTGCAGAGCTTCTCATAGAGTGGTTCTGGAGGTGTCAGCCTCCCTCCTTAGTATTCACTCCAACATCCTTTGACTCACTGCCTCAGCCTGAGAGCGTGATAATGGAAGGGGGAGAGTACAGTTAGAAAATAAAAAGCAGAAAGAAGGGCAAAGGGAGACTCCATCAACATCACACAGCTTTCTGCTGTCGCTCCTGGCTCACGTGGTTATATCTGTTGTGTTTGCAAGCCAGCCTGCCCAAGGGGATTAGTTTTTTTTTTGACAGTTTTGTTATGCCTTCTCTAAAGCTTCTCTATAAAGTCAGAGCTGTGTGATTTTAGAAAATGTCTCTCCCAGGCTGCCCTCTGATTTCTCCTTCATAAAGGGGGAACTGGAAGGCATATGCAATGCAGGAACATGACAAAGGACATTCTTCCGAGTGGCTTCCTGGTGTTATAGAACTGAACCCAGAACAGCTGTCTGTGAATCTCATTCTCAATTAGTGGCTGCATTGCTGTAGTCCTATTTAATTCTCTCCAGGATCTGACAGCTTCTCTTTCTCTTTGCCTGCATTTCCTTCTGGTCGTCTTTCCTTGTCACTCCACATCTCTTCATCTCTCTGTCAGTTTGTGTTTAGTTTAATCTCTACCCCTCCTTTTTCTGCTTCCTCTGCTCTGTCGCTTCCCATTTCATCTCAATTTTTTTTTTTTGCCTGGCAGCCCCCCGACCGTCCTCTCTTCCCTAGACTGAAATTCCAATCCCTCTGACGAAAGCTCAGGCGTTGATAAAGAGTCCAACTTTGCCTCAAAGGGTCACAAAATGGAAGTGGAGAAGGACATATTGGAGAATCCTCTAACAAGTCCACATAGGTGTGGAGTCAGAGGACTCAGGAGCGAGGCTGCAGGAGAGGGACAGCATGGTGAACAACAACCATGGATGTGGGAAACCAGGCTCATGGGGAAGTAGATGTGAAAAATGAGAGGGAGAAAGCATTTTCAGTCATGCTCTGTCTCTCCTTCATGACTTCCACTCTGCATGATGACAAGTGTCTGCCACTGCTCCCATTGGCCAAGTCTGCCACCAATCAGAGCAAAGGCATTTAAGGTGCCTTTAGGTTTTACCCAACCCTAAAAGCAAGGAACAGAGAGAAAGTGAGACCAGGAGAAGAGAGTGTGTGTATTTTTCAGCGAGAGACCAAAGAAGGTGCTGACTTTACATAGCATAGAGGATGTTCCCCGGTCTTTTCTTCTTTTTGAAGCCTCTTGTGAAATGGTTCAGATGAAAGTAAAGTGCTTGTCAGCTGTTTACTGGAGACCACTGCATTTCCTCCTGGCTGCTGTGTAGTAGAAGATCCTGACTCTGTAGCCCTCCCCCTTGTGATTGGCTGTCACACTTTAGGCTCAACCCCCCCTGCATTCTCCTCTCTCGTTTTCCCCTTCACCGTCCTCTGCTCCCAACATTGTCCTTAGGCATACCTGAGCAACCGCTGCAGAAACACTGGACCTCCCTCCTCCCCCTCCACGCACAAACATATCCACACACACACCCACGCTCTCTCTCTTCTACACCTGGAGAGGGCAGGCGCAAGGGACAACATGTGCAGCAGCAGCAGCAGTCTGTCCTCACATCCAGCACTGCCTCTCTGAGTTGCCTCTTTCTGGAGAGTGGAAGGAGGGGGGGGACGACTGAATTTTTTGGAGCTGTTGTTGTCTCTCAGCAAAAGCAGGAGAGACTCAGGCAGTGGGGGAACACCTGCCAGCCCCAGGGGACACCAAAGGCAACACAAACACACACAGCATGATTCTGGGTGAGTTGTCTCTGTCTTTTTTGGTGCCTGGGATTTTTGGTGAGGTCACTCACTAATCCCTACTTAAACTTGGCTAACAGCAGCTCCTGATTAATGCCATGTTCAGCTCGTCTGCTGCACCCGGATAAACCTTTAAGTCATGGTCGGTGTGCATAATTACAACAATTGTGTGCCATTACTGAGGCAGGTGTGAGTGATGACAGTGAAGGTCAAAGTGTTTTGGAGCTGTTTGGTCACATGATCAGACTCAACCATTCCTATGTTCTGCTAGAGGAGGAGAGCGGAAAGAGATGCTTTGATCAAACTTACTCATAATGGATGCAAATTCATACAAAAAGACAGTACCACATGGGAAGAATTATTGACCTTTTATTACGTCTTATGACATAAGATAATGATAATTTGGTGAGAACCCCTCCACTCCAATACAACTATTTATAGGGAATGAACCAGTCTCTAGCATGCAGGAGATTGTTGTTTCCAGTTAATCTTACATTGTTGCTCTGCTCTGAGTCAGCCAGCCAGCTTTTTCTTCTTTAGTATGCTGCTCTCATACTGACCAGGCTGGAGAGAGGGAGTTGTGTGCGCATTCATACAGAGGATGAGTCCAGTAACTGTTTGAACAGGATAGAAATACATGTCCTCAAGTGTTCTAATATGTGTATTTATGTTTCTATGAGACAGTGCGTGCGTGTAAAAAAAAAAAAGGGGGGTTAGCTCTGCAAAAATGTGTGTATGCGTGTGTTTGTCTTTGTTGCTATGTGCTCTGAAGGAGAGGCCACTTTGTTTTAACGCATGCCTGGGCTGATTCAGGCACAGCTCCGCTTCTCTGCCCACCCGGCAGGCATGTTTTTCATGCAGACATCTTTAATGATTATAGGGAGTTGTGTAGGCTTTAAGAGCTAAGAGATATGAATGTTGAGAGCAAGAGAAGTGTTTGTGTAGAGTTTATTTCTGTATAAGTGAAAGAAAAAAAGTTAGGTTTTGCATTAGGATAAACTCTTTTGTGAGGTTTTACAGCTTGCATTTGCAGTTATATGATAGACATGTACTGTCTTGATCAGGTTGAAGGTTGTAGCAGCTGCCGCTAATGATATTCAACCTGGGTGACTTAACAGCAGCTCAGCTATACCACCTTAATGGTTTTAGCTTAAGGTAGTTATTATGATGTCAGTTTTGACTGAAGAGCCTAGGCTAAGTAATAAAATGTGGAATTTATCTCTTTAATGAGGACCTTTGCAGAAACATACTTAGGCAAGTTGCTATCGCTGACGATTTTTCTTCAGCATATTGACCTAATTTGAAAATGTGATAGTGTAACTTATAGCTGCGCACTTCACCGTCATATCTAATAGCTAACCAATGCTGCTGCATTATGGGGACAGCTCATAGCATTTGAAGTGAGACTCTGTTAAAAAGTTAACCAGGCTAACTGCTGAATACACTTTTAAAATAATGATTTCATTTATTGAGAAAAAAAAACTTTTGAAAGTGACATGCTGCAATGTGAAAAGGGAATTTATAATCAAGACACTATCTTATAAAAACAGTCTAAAAACATAATTTAAGATATTTTTTCACTGAAATTTTTTTTTTATTAAACTGAAAAAAAAATTAACATATAACTGACATTTTCAAGTCAGTTATAAAGGATTTTTTGATATCCGTTGGACCCTAGATAAACATCGTGAAAACCATTAATGACAAATAAAGAAAAAGCTCACCAGTGGTGAACCTCTCAAGTACCCAGTCAAACAAAATGTTCCAAGTACAAATTGATATTTCGTCCAAGAGGTTACAAAACAAATAAGAACAACATCTAAGCACTTCTGTTCAAAAAGGCAAAACTTTTTAACCAGAAGTTCAAATTTAACATGTTCAGTTGAAGTAATGTAACATATTTGTTGTTGTTTTTTTTGGAAGGAACAGCTTACATTTCATCTTTTGTAAATTTGACACACTTCTAGTCTATAAAAAAAGTCTTGAGGGAATAGTGGAATAGAACACTGATCCAAAGCACACCAGCAAACCATGTCTGAGTGGCTACAAAAAGGGACTTAGGTAAAGTCTGGACTTAAATGTGACTGAGATGCTTTGACATGACCAGTTTTTTTTTTTTTTTTTTTTTGATAGCTTTTTTACCTTTAATGCATGAAATCACCATTTAAACTGTCTCTTTTTTTTTTAAATGATTTTTTTTTCTACCTGAACATGTTGCTGTTGTTGATGTTTAACATACTGTTACAAATAAACAGAAACAGAAGGGGGTTTGCAGCAGGGAAAATGCTTTTTCATGCAACTCTGTGGAGTTATTCAGCATTTTTGTCACTATTCTCATAAAGGGTAATGTCATTGCAATGACCTTTACATTTCTACCGTGAGCTGGTCTCCACTTCCAATCAGATAATTTTAATGACTTGAGCTCATTGATATTGATCTTGTAGTTTCTAATCAAAGATTCAAAATTAAATGGCTTTTGAAGAAAAGTCGTGGTGCTTATAGATTTGTGTGCAATGCCTGGATGGTGAGAGTATGCCCATGTAAAATGAAGGCTTCTGTCTATTCTCTGACCTTGAGCAACAAACCATTGCCATTATGGTTCTGCCATGATGTTGTGGTTTCGATTCAATGGTTGATGAGCAATGCAGTAGTTCGTAGATCCTAGCAGAGGCTTCTGGCAGCACTGATAATGAAAACAGCGCTAATGCAGATAAGGACAGCAGATAATTGGTGAGCTTTAGTTATCTGGTTGACATTCACTCTGCGGGCAAGATCTGCAGCTTCTGTCGTTGAGCTTGTCATGCTTTAAAATGTTTAGAGAAAACATGACCTGACATACTGTCTAAGAAAACCAAAAGATAAATGCCTTTAGATTCACATTACGGTAGGACACTAACTTTTGGAAAAAAACAACAACAACAAAAACATCTCTCTCCAAAAGAGTTTTCTAAAAGCTGTCTAACAGCATTTTTTCTTACAAATTCAATTTAAAGGCAAATGTTTTTCTTGTTTTTAGAGTTGGGAGGGAGGACAGTTCCATCGTGTCGAGATCAGTCCATGTTTGAATGTATTTTCCTGTCTCATCTGTCTTGTCTGTTTGAATCAGACTCTGAGTTCAGGGCTTTCCAGTCTATCTGTCTCTTTGTCTTTGTGTGCCCACGCAGACCTAATCTGTCTTCATGAAGCCTGTCTCTATGCTGACCTGTATGCATAGCTGTGGCTTCTTCAGTTCACCTGTTTTTCTCCACCCCCTTCTTTGCTCACCTGAATCCAGAGGTCAAAATGAGGAAAAGTATTTTTGAAAGTCTGCATTTTTCTTTGCCTTTTGTTTGAACATGTTCTTTTCTTTGGGCCAAATAAACAGAGTAATTATGTTCAGACATTTGGTATGGACAGTTTGTCATGTAATTATTATTCCTTAATAATTTGCATAGTAGAGGTAACACTGAAATCCATAAAGTGTGATACAAATTAAAAACGCATTACACATTAAATATTGATAAATGCCACTAAAAGCAATCAAATACTCAACAAAAAATGAACTTGCACTCTGGAAAGGGTTGATGAAGGTGCAAATAAACATAACTGATTTTTTTCCTACCTTTTAGCAACATTTTCTGTTTGATTTTTCTTAAAAAAAAATGTAGAATATGTCATTTTTAATGTTAAAAAAGATTACAGATTAAAAATATAGCAAACTTAATAAAATAATAATCATAAATCTATTAATTGAGATTTATGCTCACAGACAAGGAAGGCAGATAATTTATCATGGAATATATGTGGAATACATTTTGGTAACATCTAAAAATATCTTAAAATATCTTAATAAACATTTTTGTGATCAAGATGAATTTAGAGAGTTAAAAATGTAGAAAATTAAGCAAGAATTTCTGAATTTTCAGAAATAGGAAGACAAAAGATACATCTAGCAGAAGCGCATGGACGCATCAGTGATGTAACCTGAGGTCACTGGATGTTTTGGGTTTGTCAAAGAACAGACACCCTCGCCCAGGCGACCTGACCAGGGTTGATCAGACCCCAGCCTGTGTCTCAGCAGCATTAGTCCACGTGTCTGGCCTCTTCATCCATACCCACGTTGTGGCTTTTCCTGCAGCTTCGGTTATGGATCTGATGGCCTTCTTGGCCTCTCCAATGAGACCCAGCAGCATGAGTACTTCTTTGCAGAGTGAATGCTAAGTAAGGGCAATTTGTAAAAATTTTCAACCCTACATTCGTAATTGCTACAAATTGCGATGCAGGGTATATATGTGCAAGTGACTATTCCACACAGCGTGTCTTCTGCAATGCTGGTAATGTTGTTAACCACCTGTGTACACGACTAAAACTCAATAAGGTAAACGTGCTTGATTTCCAGTCCAAAAGGATACGTTTCTTCAAGTGGGAATAGTTTCTTCTTTTCCATTTGTTCTGACTATATTATGAGACATTGTAGTTTTTTGACTGTTATTCATTTTTTTATCTGAATGCACAAAATTCGAACAGAGTGAAAACTGAGGTGGAGATTTTTTTCTTTAATGAAAGGCGAACAGCTTCAAGGGAGGAGAGAATTTTCCTTTTTTATTTATTTTGTGTGTAATTTTGTATTTGTTGTGATAAAAACAACTCTGTAACAGATGGAGCGGCCTGTATACACTGTTAAAAAATTAAAACAACAACAAAGAAAAACAGCTAGGTTCTGGTTTGGATCGGTTCTTTCTTTCTGTCTCAAGTTTAAATAGATAAATATGTGTGGTGACACTGAGGAAAAAGTATGTGTATGTGTGTACAATTTAAAGTATTTTTTAAAGTGTTTTTTTGTCGTGGGCCGCGTAGGTCCAACAAAGAAACAAATCAAATATTGCTCTTAAATAATTGTTGTTGAAGGGCCGAGTCTATTGTTGATGGTTGATAGATTCATCCCATTGCCCAACCCTAGTGACGCGACCAAATATTCACATTGTATTATCCAGCCTTCCCTGTTGCAGTCGTCCACTTGC